CAAACATTTTTGAAGGAGCATGCTGGCGCCTTAAACACAGCCTCTTTACTAAAGGGCTGTGAACATTTTCTTATTCTTAACCAAATGCACACAGACGCAGGTTGACAGTGACTAAGGGTAGTTCATTGTAAATACCGGGGAGGAGAGGGATGACTGGTAGGGAACAGAGCTGGCAGGAGGAGAGCTGAGGTTAGCAGATGGCAGGGAACGCCGCTGGCAGAGTGTGGCGTGGAGGGTTAATGGTGACACAGGCTGAGGGGGATTGTTAGCTTGAGGGGTTAAGGGGGGGAGGTGAGGTGTGCTGATGGCTGGAAGGCAGGAGGAAGGGTGGCTGGTTGTGGCAGAGCGTGAGGGGGAATCGAGGTTGTACCGAACACTGAGGGGGCAAGCAGAGGCAGCTGGTTGGGTAGTGAATTGAGACACAGAATAACAAGGCAGGTACAAGACAAAAACATGGAGAAACAAACCAGCAAATGAAGCACAGAGGCCGTAACATTAGTGCCCCCAGGCTGACTGAACGATCTGGCAAAGAGCAGCAGAGCTCCATTAAATATAGTGCAGGTAATGAGCTGATGAATCACCGGTGTGCAGACTGATTGGGGAGAAGCCAGAGTGGACTCCTAAAGCTCAGACACACAGCAAGACAAGCAGGGGATCACAAGGGACACAAGGGCTGCAGTCAAATTGTCTTTTTTGGTTAGAAGGAGTCCAAACTGAGTGACCTAAGTGGCCGCAAAGATAAGACTTAATTGAATTCTCTAAAGGCTCAGGAAAAGGGTTCTTCAGAGCTTCCTTTCTTATCTCCTTTACACTGGTCCATCCTTTGCAAAAGGCGCAGAGATAATAAATGCACCATCCATGACAGCATCCATCAGTGCATGAATATGTAGAGTGTTAGTCAGATTCTCTTAGCGCTGCGATTTTCCTTTGCTATTGTGGAAGGGCATCTCGAACATTCAAATTTGTCAAACGAAGTTGGGCACCAGACAGGAGAATAAAAAGGTTATTCTTCAGCTGTCACTTTAAAAGATATTTTTATGAACATAGAATATAAAACCACACAAGACAGAAGAGGACCACAGTCTGTGTTTTCATGATTTAAATCAGGTTAAAAAAAACAGTCAAAATCAAACGCAGAAATATCTCCTAGACAAAAGTCCATTCACTGAACACAATCCTAACTAAAATTCAGTATCTTGATAAACAAAATCATAAGCTCCTTAAATAATTATGAAAAACTTCCAAAAAAAAGTAAGTTCAAGAAAGGATCATTTCTGTATATTTCACAACATGCCAATTTATTTTCATTTACTTGCACATTTTAGGTCTTTCAGTTTGTTTCAGTGCATTTCAGTTCAGTTTTTAAGGCGTGGGTGAGAGTATATGAGGTATGAGAGTGTTGGTGAGAAGCCAACAAAGGTAGAGGAGGCTAGTGAGGGGGATAATGCAGCCTGAGCTGAGGCAAGAGAAATGGGGAGAAGCCTGGAGATTTGGCAAGAAAAAAAGGAGACTTATCTCAACCATGGTCCAACAAAGGCCCAGGCATCCGAGCAGCAGCAGCAGAAGGTGGAATGAGGTGGATCCAGTCCTGCTCCTGGTGGTCGCTCAGAGTCACAACCAGGAAACTTTATCACCTCCAGCTTGTTCATTTACTCCAGTAAGCATGACCACAAGCTGTGTTTATCTCCTTTTCTTAAGTCTCACTTCACTCTCTGCTCTCCTCCATGCTTAATTTGTTAGCCACAGCTCAGCTCACAGGTGTGTCTGCTTTAACACCTCATTTCCTCTCAACACTTCCTGTCAGGAGGAATAAAGGGCAGTTCTGTTTGTTTGTTTGTTTGTTTGTTTGTTTGTTTGTTTGTTTGTAACTGCCCACATTATGTGTTTTTTTCCACATCTTTCCTCAAACTCATGACATTTTCCATGAAAAGTTTTTGAAGAAAACATTAGATATAATTTTTTTAAACTGTTCAACCACACATAAGGGAACATAGGGAATGAAGAAGAGCAACTGTGTGCATCATAAACATGGAGACTTTTGGTTAACCCTTGTGTGGTGTTCATATTTTTGTTATTCAGCCAGTGTTCGTGGGTCTGGTGGACCCGTTGCATGTTCAGGTTTTTAATTCAACACCATAAAACCATTTTATGTTAAAATACTCAACAGATGATTACTTCATTCCAATTACAAGCAATATAAACAGCATATATGGTTTGCCCTATACCTTTGTCAGGTCACATTTAGGAATTAAAGTGCAACTTTTTTTTTGTTTGTTTTTTATTAAAACTAAGAATATCAATTATAGTCCTGATTTGAGAAGAAAAAAAATTTACAAATTTCAAATTTACAAATGAAGCAAGGTTTTTCATAACTATTAACTTTCATTTATTTGAACTTCATTAGAAATTTAACCCATTCAGATCAGTTTACGCAACACAAGCTGAACACAAACAGTAACCATGTTAGTCTAGACTCGAGAGAACACATCCGGCCCACTGAATTATGGCTGCAGAGGCTGGGATTCTTGGAACATGTTGTCTTCTCTGGATTTGAGGTCTCACCAGTACCTTTCCAAGTTCTTTGTGAAAGAAGTGTCTCCTCTGGAGCTTCCCTTTGTTCCACTCTGGGTTCAGTGCAATCCAGATGACAAATGGATGGCGTTGTACGAGATGAGATGTCCAGTATGTCAAAGAGTATCACCAGTGGCAGGCGTAGGGTCCTTTTGCAGCTGTCGGCAGTTACTAGCTTGTCCATATTGTCCACCCCTCCTTTTGTGGCATTCATGATGATCTTGGGTTTGTGAAGCTCCTGGCTACAGATTCTCCCATCCCTGGGCAGTGTACTCATGTGTACACATTCTTTCCTTTCTTTGGCAAATAGGACACCAGGAACATGTCAGCCATGTATACACACTTGGAAGAACAGGCCTCTTCTTTGTAGTCAGCAGTTGGGGTGGGAGCTCAGGCTTGTTTTTCCATCTTTTTCCTGCCATGGTCAGTTTCTGCTTTAGTAGCTCCTCTCCCAGCTTGTGTGAGGTAAAAAAAAAAAAAAAATGACGTTGTGTCCACTGAGTCCCTGAGTCATGTCCAGGACAACTCTCATTCCTTGATTTTTCACTGGGCTCCTCCATCAGGTTTTCCTGTGTAGACGTGTAAGTTCCAAGCATAAGTGGCATCACAGGCAGCCCAGATCTTTGTACCATGCCATGTTCCACCCCCATTTTGCAGTTTGGATAGAGTATGAGACACTAAAGATTGGTCTCCACAAAGACAGAGGGTAAAATGTGCAGGAATTGTGAGAGCAAACGTCTTGAATTTTGCAACCTTGTACAGGAACGGCAGGGGCAGAAACGCAAAGGTCACAGACAGACAGACAGACACACATACACACACACACACACACACACACGCACAGCCCCAGACAGGAGGAGGACAGAGTGAAGGTACATGGAACCTACATTTTCCACACTTTTATGAGCCCCGGACATCCTGTATGTAATATAAATGTGTAGGAGGGGTGTGTCGTGTGTGATCATTGAAAATGTTTTGTGATATATGTTCTTCACAGAAAATGAGCCAAGACCAATGAGTCCCAGTTTGAAAAAATAATTTATAGTATATTTTTCTTTTGATGAAAGACTGAAAATGGGTCCCACAGACCTGAACAATTCTGTATTCGTGTTTTTATCTTTTCTTTTCTCACTGGTTTAAAGTTGAAGGTGAAAGATTTATGTTACATACCTCTGTGCACAAATCAGAAAGCACTTAAGAGCTTGTTTTCTTATTTTGTAAAGCAAATTCTCTGTATTTATTTTTTTTTATTATGCTAATATGTGACAATAATCACAGCAATAAAGAATTTACAAACATTATTTATGGTGATAGTCTTAACTGAGATCAACATAAACTCTATTTTTTTGGTCATTTTTTCTTGTCGTTATAGGAAAAGAATTGATGTTGTTAATGGCATGTGCAGTACCTGAACACTGAAACCAAATCAGAATTCATTTATCATTTATTTTATTATTCATATCTGTATTCATATCTGTATTTTTCCTACTGTGACATGTCAAAACATTTACTATGAAAAGGACCAATCTGAGTAAACACATTAGGAAAATACATGAGCAAATGATTGAGGCAACAGAACTGGTTCACAACTTTTTATTCAACATATCGTATTAGAATACAGTCAGTGTAAAACCATTGTTAATATGTAATATGGTGCTGCTACAGTTCTGTCTTAATTAATCTTCTGTCATGATATTCAACAACAGTTTAAGGCAGTTGTAAAAGTGAGGGCTGGAAATGAGCTGTTGGGCAGAGAAGCACACACACAGGTGGAATTTTCTTTTTAAATAGTATAGCACAATAATAAAATATATATATGTGTGTGTGTTTGTGTGTATACTGCAAGGAATCAGTCTGTCAAAAGTATTTTAAATCTCATCTATATTTTCCAGGCTTCTGTCCATCTTGATATTTTCCAGACTTTGTGATGTGGCACAAAAAAAAAAAAATAACAGACAGCGAGAGAATAACTAAGCAAGTGAGGGAAACACAGCGACAAGAAGCAAGAGCCGAAGACACATTCTTCAAAATAAGACAACGCATTAATGGTTGCAGCACTGCTTGGGAGGTGGATGGTGGAAATGTAGCACAAAGCTTCTGAAGCAGAACAAGAAAAAAGACAGAGAGCGAGAGAGGCTGTGCATTAATATTTTTCATAAAGCGAGGAGGTAGATGGGACTAAATGTCCTCACTTTGTCGAAATAAAACTTGGTTTGAGAAGAGTGGAGACAGAGGAGAAATTATGGTCCATTGTGTCGTGCTGCCACCAATAATTGGGTTAAACGTTCATATAATTTTCATATCAACAATGCTGCAGAGAAGAACGAACCTCAGTGGAGCTGCGGAGAGGAAGGATCCTGTGTGTCTCCATTGAGTCCGTTAAAAGTTCCTTAAGCAGTCCAAAATTGAAAACACAAACTGCAGATTACTAGTTTTCATCAGTTTTGTAATTTTGAAAATGTATATTGTTTCCAGAACTGCACACAGACACTGTCTTCATCATCTTGATAGAAAGTTACTCAAATTTAGAGCATTTAAAAGTACATCAAGATTGTCTTGCCATTGATTAGGGTGGAGACCAGGCCTGGCAAAAAACAAACAGAAGCCATGCACGAGGAAACTGTTATGATTCTGTCTTCATTTGAAGTCCACCGTTGTCAACAGAACTGCAGCCGGCTGTATTGATTATGCTGGTTATGTATCAGATTCAAACACCAGAAACAATGTAAGAGACGCTTGTTTGACTGTTTCCTTTCTTGTGTCACAGAAATCCTAGAAATCGCCATACCTGTGGAGAGAAAAATGCAGAAATATAATTCAAGACATACTATATTCTGCAAAAATGGCCTGGTGCATGAATGCAGTTTAACACTGTGTTTGAAATGAGTGTTTAAGTAGTGAGCTTTAGCAGGAATAGCAACCCTCCTTGCAGAAGAATGGTTCATTTGTCACGTAAAGAGAAAACTGCGTTCCTTCTATATTTAGACGTTTCAAATAGCAGCCTTTGCCGAGCTAAAAGGTGTGTTGCTGTGTATATTAATGTGCGTTTCGGGGCGTGCATGACTCACTCTGTGTCATCAGCAGTGGGTGTGTTGTAGCTTTGGAACAGTGGCTGCATGAAGAGTCCCAGAGTTCCCACCACACACACCAAGATGAAGATCCACAGGAACAGACGGTCTATCACCATGGCTACGTACTTCCAGTCTTCTATGATCTGGAACCAAACCAACAGGTTCAGGCTGTTGCAGGTTGTTAAGACACATCAAATCATGATTATAAAGTGCGTGTGGGAAGAGGAAGACATTCAGAGTTTCCTTGTTTTACCTCCGCAGACCAGAAGAGCATAAGCTTGTTGATTTGTCTGCTCATAATCCATCCATTTTACAACTGATTGTTTGCTAAACCTCTGCCCCAAACAGTGATTTTGGAGGGAAATGAAGCAGGGCTTAGCGCACGGTTCAAGTGCACTCTATTCAGAGAGAGTGTTAGTAATCATAATCAGACTTTTATTAACTGCTGCTGAGGCTAGAAGGGTTTTTAGGCAACAGAGTGCATATCAGGGTATATTTTTAACCTTGCTGCAGATGGTTGGAAGCAAAAAGAAGAGAGGCAAGTTGATGAAAAATCTGCTACAAGTAACTACGGCTGCAAAGCATGTAATATTTATGAAGCGTGAGAGTTTTGTGGAAGTTTAGAAGTTTAAGGCCACAAATTTGGGGTGTTGAGTTAAGTCAGTTTGTGTTGATTTGAGACTGTGGGCAGGGTTTTCCAAAGGACAGATGACAGATTGGAATAGAGTCACAGCAGAACAAAATTAAATACTAGCGAGTTTAACATCTGATCTTGACCTGATCATTTTCTCATTCCTCCTTGTTGGATCTCTTCTATTCCTTTCATTTTCAGAGCCTATTTCTTACTCTTTATCTATTTTTTAAGACAGCTTTGTCTCTGTACCCCTTCATCGTCGTCTTCCGTCTTCATGTGTTCAGCGATGTATTTCACCCCCTCCACCGCCTCCTCCAGATCCGCATCCCCCTGAACGGCTAAAGGCCTCCGGAAGTCCGAGAACCCACCACCCGCATCTGGGATGTCGCCCATTTTCCAGCAAAACTTGTGCGCCAAGTCCTCGTTCACGTAAAAGGAGTCGGCATCCGTTCGGATCCCACCGAGCCTGATGTTGGAGTAGTTCCTCTTGTCTGTGCTGCCCTGGGAATTGTTTTTACAGAAGGTGCTCTGGCTGGCGTACTTTCGGCGCAGTTTGTCGCGAACGTTGGAAGAACCCGGACGCCTCATAAGGAGGAAGGTGGGCAGGCGGACCAGGAAGAGGCGTTTGACCCAGTCGGGCATGTAGTGGGTGGACGGGGATCGATGGTGCACGTTGAGGACGCAGACCGTGGTGACGATGGAGAATGTCACCAGCACCATGGTGAACATCAAGTATTTACCTACACAGAGAGAGAAGAGATGAGCTGCCATAATGCACAAACATTGATTCCTCCTTTAATCGCACTGCTTTCCGTTTTTAAGCATTTGTTACTCAGTGTGCAAATAATGGTTGAGTTTCAAATAACAGCGAACACTCACATGAACATACACAAGCCAGTCTTTAATACAAACCCTTTGTTGCTCACTTTTTCTTTTTTTCTTGCCTCCTACGCCTCAGCTTTGGTTTTGTCTGCATTTTTTAATTTCTCTGGGATTAGTAGGACCTGATGAATACAAAAACTAAGTATTGTATTTCAACAATAAGTAGCTGGGTTATTTAATGGGTTGTAGCTTGTGAATCACTTGTTGCTGGACGGCTTTCAGTTGCTGCGAACAGACAGGACGAAGGAGAGCGGAAAGAGGAAAGGAGGGGGACTGGCAGTGTTTGTGAACGATAGATGGTGTAAGCCTGGGCACATCACTATCAAGGAAAAACTCTGCAGTAAGGACATTGAACTGTTAGCTGTTAGCATGAGACCTTACTATCTGCCGAGGGAATTCTCGCCACGCTCACTCTGCTTGTGATGTTCTACACACAGTTACAAGCAGGCAGCAGACACAACACCCACAGGCCCTTTTCCTTATTGCTGGGGACTTCAACCATGCCTCTCCATCATCCATACTACCCACATTCACACAGTATGTCACCTGCCACACCAGAGACAATAAAATATTGGACCTTTTTATGGCAGTACCAAATAGGCATGCACATCATCTCCTCTCCCACCCCTTGGGAAATCAGAACACAACTTGGTTCACCTCCTTCCTATGTACAAACCTCTGGTACACAGACAGCCAGCTGTCACCCGCACAGTCAAGAGATGGTCCAAGAAAGTGGAGGAGGCTCTCAACGACAGTTTCGACACAACTATGTGGAAAGTGTTCTGTGAGGATCACAGGGAGGGAGGACATCGACAACCTCACACACTGCATCACTGACTATATCAATTTCTGTGTGGATTACACCATGCCCAACAGGACTGTTGGGCATGGTGCTTAGCTCGGTGCTTAGCTCTGGCCCAGCAAAGAGGTGGTGCTTGCTAAGCACCAGTTTTGAGAGCCAGGAGCTGGTGCTTAGGCGGTGGAAACACAAATAACTGGTGTCAAGTCAGGCACTAGCACGGAACTAGCACCGGAACTGGTTTGGTGGAAAAGGAGTACGTGTGTCCAACACTGTGGTCTGCAGTATGGGGGCCCTGCAGGGGACTGTCCTCACACCCTTCCTTTTCTCCCTCTACATTGCAGAGTTCTCTCATCACACCACGAACTACCATCTTCAGAAGTTCTCTGACAACTCCGCCATTGCCAGCCTCATCACTGATGGAGATGAGAAGGAGTACAGAGAACTCAACTGGGACTTTGTGGACTGGTGCCTGCTGAACTGCCTCCAGATCAGTGCAATGAAAACCAAGGAACTGGTCGTGGATTCTTCAAGAAGGGTCAGAACAGACTGCACCTGCTCAGGAAACTGAGGTCCTTCGGGGTTCATGGAGCACTTCTGAGAACCTTCTATGACTCTGTGGTGGCATCAGCCATCCTGTATGGAATGGTCTGCTGGAGCAGCAGCATCACGGCTGCAGACAGGAAGAGACTAAATAAACGGATTAAGAAAACCAGCTCTGTCCTGGGCTGCCCCCTTGATCCTGTGGAGGTGGTGGGAGAAAGAAGGATGATGACAAAGCTTTTGTCCATCATGGAGGACACTTCTCACCCCCTGCAGGACAGGAGCATCTCTGGGCATCTCCTTCAGTGACAGACTGCTTCACCCGCGGTGTGTAAAGGAGAAATACCGCAGGTCCGTCCTTCCTGCTGCAATAAGACTGTTCAATCAAGCCTGCTCCCAGTAGTTCAGTTCATCCACCGTGAACAACAGTAGTGTAAATAATGTAAATAAGGATTCTGTGCAATTTCACAGAAATTTTTCTGTAAACACTTCTAAAAGGAGAAAGTAATCTGTAGCAAAGCCGAAATGTACTGAAAGCAAGGTCACAGGAGGTTAAAATGCACTTTTTCAAATGTCTAAATCCATCAGTACAACAGAATCACCAACTTGCTGTTCTTGAACATAAATAGTTTTATTTTATGGTGCAATTCCAAACTCTTCTACTTTGATGTTCTTTTGATCTCTGTTCAGATGCTGTCAATAAGTCAGCACTTAATGTGCATGTTTCTCAATTAAAGCCTCAAAGATGATTTCATTCCTCAAGGTTTTTGAAGTGAAATTTGTGCATAAAGTGTTTAGTCTGATTGATAGCAGTTCAACACCGACTGAAAAAACAACGATTGACTCATACGAACTAGTGAAAACTGTATTTTTGAGTAAGGAGAAGCTTATTGCTTTATATTATGTGATTCTGTTGTTGAGCCAGTGGAACTGGTGCTGCAAATATGTGCATGAATTTATCAAGAACACAGGAAAACACTAAGGTTGTAAACTGCATCAATAGCAAATGAAATGGGAGTCATTTAGAAAATTGGGGAGAGTCTTCATCATTTATTATAAAATATATCATACCTGTCACTTAGACAGAAGTGTTTCAAATAAAGTCTGGCTTATCTGCAGAGGATTTAAATAAAACAGCAGACCATACTTGAAAATTGGTGTTGCTTATCATGTTTTACATTAAATATAATAGATGTTTTCTGTTTTCTAATTTAGCATAAGTTAATACACATAACTACAGTTGGAAAACCTTGCAACCCTTAGCAAAAACGACAAAAGGTTATTGTTCGCTGTTGTCTTAATCTTATGTGTTTTATCAGAGCTTTAAGGAGCATAACACATTTTTGGGTTCATTTCTATCAATTTAGTCCCTTAAAAAAGCAGAAATCACCTGCAGATATGCTCAACCCAAACTGTTCACATCCCTAATTTTCTCAAGTCTGCACCCAATTGCAAGCAGAGAAGTATAAACATGACTAACCTATGAGTGGCACCGCTAGAGAGGTGGGCGGCACTATCTTTGATATCAGCAGCAGGAACACAGTGAGCGCCAGCAGCACAGAGATGCACAGCGTCATCTTCTCCCCGCAGTCCGATGGCAGGTAGAACACCAGGATGGCCAGAGACGTGATCAGCACGCAGGGGATGATCAGGTTGATGGTGTAAAACAGAGGCTTCCTCTTGATGACGAAGTCATAGGTGATGTCCAGGTAGGTGATGTCGTTGGGGTCCTCGTTTTTACGCGCCGGCAGCGAGACAATGTCCCACTCCCCGCTCGGCGTGAAGTCGTCTCGGCTGGCGAAGTCACTGGTGAGGATGAGGTCCACCTCTGTGTGGTCGTAGGTCCAGGAGCGGAATTTGAGGGTGCAGTTCTGCTGGTCGAAGGGGAAGTTCTGCACCTCGATGGCGCAGGCCGACTTGTAGATGGCAGGGGGAAGCCAGAAGATGTCCCCCGTGTTGGATACCACGGCGTTGCAATAGAAGGAAACCTCGTACACACCGTCAGCACTGGGACAGGTTTGGAAATTATTAAAGAATGCAAGAAGTGGAGGAAATCACATAAAAAAAACTAAAATCTATTGAAATGACCCCCTCTGACCCCTCCTTGTTATTATTATTTTATTATTTTTTTATTACTACTATTGTTGTTGTTTCTGTTGTTGCTGATGTTGTGTTGGTGTTGTGTTGTTTTTCTAGTACAACAATTTCCCTGAGGTTTACACCAAAGGGATCAATAAAGTTTTATTCTATTCTATTCTATTCCCTTCTGCATCAACAATCAACACTTAAAGTATTGGTTCAACAATGCAGTGAACAAGACACATGGGTCTTGTAATCATGGAGACAGCACTGACCTTTACCCTTTTTTTACAATCATGATAGTAATCAGACTCCCTTATGGTCAGCTGATGTGATAATAAACTGAGTAATCACTAATGCGTTTCACCTCAGTGAAATCAGGAAAATGAAAAGACAGAATATAGCGACTGTTAAATATAAAATCCCCATAAAAAAACAGCATTCTAATTTTAGCAGCAGATTTTCTGCTTGTAAAGCCTGTAGAATGACGTACTGTAATCCATTAATATTAGGCTACTACATGCACAGATGGCAAAAGCTGTAATGTTTTCTTCATTACACTGACAAGCAGAGTTTCCTTTTTTGTCGGATGCTCATACTCACTTGTTGTACAGCACTATGTCAGGGAGCCAGATGTGCTTGGATGGTATTCGTAGTTTTTTGATGCCTCCATATTTGTCTGGGTCCCACCTCAGCCTGTAGTCGTTCCACTCCTGCAAAAACAGCATCATCATTCCATTACTGAAAAGCTCACCAACACACAGTACATTCAGAGGATGGTATGTTTTCACTGTACTGTACCTGAAACAGCCACAGGTTGGTCGTCATTATCTGCTCTCTCTCATTCTGCAAGAAAACACTGGTCAGCTTTCACACAACTGTAATAAATTCCTCAATATTTCATTTTATGTTGTCTGTTGGCAGTGGCTTTTCCTTAAATGCACTAAAGGTTAAATCCAAATACCACAGCACACCTTCAGGGAGTGGAAGCGATAAACATTTTGAGGCAAAATAACAAACTTTCGAACAACTTAAATGTCACAAAGGTGGAACTTACAGTCACTCTGACATTATGCTGATCAGTCTGCTTTTGGAACTGGGTGGCAAAGTTGGTTTTTGATCACATTTGTGTATTCAGCGGATGCAGTTGCTGGCTTGATGTAGGATGTTTTGGATTTAGTGAGTAATGAAATGTGCTAATATTATTATTGTTTGTGACGGTTTGTATTTTGATAGTATTAGTGTTGTGATAACGTTTATTATTGTGTTTGTGGTGATAATTGAGAGAGTGGGGTCACGTGGATAGGGGCCAAGTTGATATGAGCTGTATTTTTTGGTGACCACCACGCCAAGCTACTTTATCGATAATCACTGTTTTTTAAACAATACATATAATTCGTGCACATAAAAGTTACTTCAGGTATATTTTTGGAACTCTAACCAGAGACAAAACAATCCTGATCTCAGTCTCTTGCTGACTTTTTCTTTTGTTTCCTAAAGTCACTACACTTGTGCAAGTGAGGGGAGGTGGCTAGCTTTGTAAAGACTAAAGGCAATATTTCTGCCAGTAACTCCCAAGTCTCATTATTTAATAATGGCTGTAAACAGTGTCTTCCATTTCATTGTTAAATAGAGAGAATGAGACATTTCTGTTTGTGTATGCAACTCTGAAAGCGTTTTAAGGAACCATGAGCAGTGGTTCAGTTAAGGACAGTAATGTCATAAGAAATATGACTATATCTATATATCTACAGCATAGAAATTAAATCTCAATAGCAGCTTTATGCAGAGAACTCAAAACTGGATTCAGATTCCGTTTTTATATCTGTCTGAAATCATTTTACAGTTACATCAACTACAAAAGTTGATATTTTGTTTATCAGGAGTCCAAAACCCAGAGATTATGATGCACATGTATTTGCATTGAGAGTTTCTGTATATACTCACCACGCTGATGAGCTGAGACAGAGACACCTGGATGGAGATGGTGACCTGTTGGGTCTTATTGACAGCCGGTCTGATCAGTTTGTTGTAGCGCTCAGGACCCAACAGGTAGTTCACCAGCCGCTCCTCTGCATTCTCTGCCCTGCTGCCTACAGATGAAACACACAAAGTAGAAAAGTGCTTCAAACCCTAGAATGCATCTCAACGTAAAACCTTTATAAAACGGACACACTTGCATGTAGCTTTGCCTCTCTGCACGACAAGAACACTGTCAGTCAGCCAATTATTTATGTCATAAATAAATGCCATGTGTTTGTCCCGCAGCAAATCATAAATCTCTGGTAGGAGGGGTAGCGTGTCTCCTTTTCGTTTTAACACTAAAAAAGCACACACGGAAATGTCACCGTATCCTGTGTGTGTGTTTGTGTACAAACAACTTGGCCATAAATGAAGCAAATTTACCAAAGGGCATAAAGTCTGAATCACATGTTCCCAGTAAGTGTTCGGGTGTTCGCGTCTTGCAGTCTGATGCTTTACTGCAGGGTTTTAGAGCAAAAGAACAAACAAAAATCCAGTCATGCATCCATCCCTGTGCGACGATCCCTGAAGCATTGTGTCTCCTCAGCCCTAAATTATTGGTTATGTAAAAGTGATCGTATGAATAAGTCAGAAGCAAAATGCTTTTGACCCACTCTGCTGGCTCCTGCTGCCATTAAGTCTACATTGTCAAACAAACTGACAACGGCGCAGTGAATGTTTCATATCTGGAATGTTTCTTCCTCTGTGCCACATGAATTGTCTGTTGTTGTAAGATTACATGCAGCGAAGGCTCAGTGAGCGTGTATGGCCTTTTTCTTCAGCAGCGCCCTGCTGCTTCATGTTTTCATGTCAGCGTGAACGTCAGTGGTTCCAGCCGAAGAGAGGCAAGTGAATCTATTAGAGCAAAGTGAAACATCCTTAGTTGTCAGTTTATTTTAACTTGTTAAGGATAAATGGTTTGCCACCAAGCAAGGGCTGGAAGAATCTCTGCGTGAGAGAAACATACTGGTTAAACTGAAGGTTAATCTAATTAATCACATTTATTTTTCATCTAAAATAGGCTCAGTGCAGCCCAATGGGTTACTGAACAGGGGCGAGAGCAAAGGGAACTCGGTCCAGAGATTCTATTTGAAGTAATGGCTTATTTTTCTGGATGACAAGTGAATTAAACAACTAGAAAAAAAACACAAAACTACACAAAAAAGGCGGAATACAACTGTAAAACAGCAGAAAATGGTGACAGAATCCAAAAACAGATGTAAACCAATTAAAAAGAGATGCAAAATAATCACAAATAGATGCAAAACTACTGCAAAGACAATTACTATATGTTAAAACTGACTAAAAGAGACATACATTAAACAGACGCAAATCCATTGCGAACAGAGGCAAAACGAGACACAAAAGGACCACAAAGATTCAAAACATATCAGCTTCATTTAGATTAATTCTGTGTTTCCTTCAGTCTTTGGCTTTGTTTCAGGACAGCTCTATGTAACTCTTACAGTGGTGGGCCGTTAGGGCCAGCAAGCCTTCTCTGCTGGCCTAAACTCTATCAGAATCACTGACTTGCGTTGTAATATTTTCCCATTAATCTTTAGACATTATTCCCAATAGTCTGTTCGCTTCATTTAATAGCGTGTCTCTGGGATGTGGTGCTTCCAGCAGTGTATGTTTATATTAGAGCTTCTTTTTTTTTTATCCAATCATATTTCCACCATCATGTGTTGCCAGGGTCACAGAAATCTGCCCTGAGGCCTTCAGAATCAAAAGTGCAGGCACAGGTAGCTTAAAATGCATCGCAATGAAACTGTGGCTTTAACCAATCAGATTTAGAGTTGGGGATCCCAGGGCCAGCTAGCTGGCCTACGATGACATCATCATTTTCACTTCCTCTGATTGGATGGTCAGAGAGCTTAGCCAAAGCGTTTGGTATCTGTAGCGAATTGCACAAGCTAAAACTTTATTGTGAAAGTATTGAGTTTTTTTGTTTGTTTTTTATTTTTTAAGTTGAGCAAGCGGACATTCTCAGCCTTAAAGCGAATTAAAACTTATGCCAGAAACACAACTGGACAGACCTGACTTTCAGCATTAGCCTCCATGGAGATAAAACAGGACGAATGCTGAAAGTGAAACACAGGGATTAGCTGCTCAACAGAGTGATTGAACTGTTTATGATGAAAGAAAGGAGGATGGAGTTTGTGTTCAAATCATCACGTTATGGTGAGTAAAATATATATTTTTGTCAATTTATTGGGCTGAAATTGATGCTCCTGTTAGATGTGATGTATATGGTGCAGCTGTGGCTGCAGCGAAAGGAGACTTGTTGAATTGTTTTAACTGGGTTTCTAGCTTTAGTGATGGCATTCATTCACGCTACATGAGATACTTGTCTGCGATGCAACGTCCTGCTGTACTGCCTTCCTGCATAACACTGAAGGTTTCTGTAGCCGTGGCGTCATAACGACAGTGTTAGGAGATGGTTTGATTCAGGCAGGCTGACACTGAAGGCCTAGGAGTGAAATGCACGGCCCGCCACTGAATTCTTATAATCCATTAAATGTCTCAATGACCTGTGGTAAGTGCATGAACATGTGCGGTAATGCTTTAGATTACAGCTCACAAATTACAGTGTAATTATATAGTAAACGTGGTAGCTTTACTGGAGTACATTCTGTCATATAACAGACACAGTAAGGATAGCGTTTTAATATGTCTAATATTTACAGGCCACAGTAATTATTTATTCAGTATAAAAGTCTGGAAATTTGCTACAAAGTGGCAAAAGTGTTGATATTGCAATGAAATTAGTTGTAGTAACACTTTTATATCTTATTATCAAACTCTTGTTTCTACAGTAAATAGCTTGAGTTTGCAGCCAGTTAGCTTAGCTTAGCATGAAGACTGGAAACAAAGGGAAACAGCTCGCCTGGCCCATCTAACGGTAAGGAAATCTGTCCACCAGCACCTCTAAAGCTCAGGAATTAACACATTATGTTTACTTTGTCTTACAGGGGATTATGAAGCTACTTTTTGTGCCAGGAGCCATAACTGCTTGCCTGGTAACTGATCCCAGCAAACAAACTGAAATGGCATTTATTGGATGCCTTTTTGGGATGTATGGCCATTTATAAATGGATAAATACTCAAGTGATTTAGCATCACGCTCCTGTCATCTAAGCCACACACATAGCGTCTTTTTTACTTCATGCAAACTAGCAGTTATTTGTTCAGAGATGCATGAGTGTAGCCTCAAGTGGTTAGCCAGAATCTGCGATGGTGAGCAACAAAATCGCATTTATGTAATACAGCACCCTCCTTTTATTTTTATTATTTTATTTATTATTCATCTTTAACCTTGAGGTCTTTGGATTCAGGTGGCGCTGCCTAAAATGACATAACATTAAGCTATGTATAAGATTCCACACACCAACTTTTAGAGCCACAAAAAGCTTCATACTGCTTTTTTTTCTTTTTTACACATCCTCAAGGCCTGTAAACACACTTTAATGTGTAGCGTTTCCCTTTTAAAGCTGAGGTAGGCAGTGCTTTGAGAGGAAACCAGATTTCTATATGTCCTCTTGGCTCAGTTTTCAAGCTTAGGAAATCTAGTTCATGATGGAAAACTTTGGCCAATCACAGATCTTTTTTGGGAGAGGACATTGATGCAGTTGGGTGTTTAAATGCAGATGTGCATGCATGTCCCTTTAGATAGAGAAAAGCCTGATTCAGTGGTGGGAAATCCTGCAGGAAATGTTGCAGCTCCTGCATTGGCAACAACAGCCCACACTGCAATATAAGCTCAAAAACAAGGAGAATGGACTTGTGAAAAGAAAGTTTGACAATAAGTGAAATTAAACTGTATCTCCTCCTGCACAGCTTAGTTTTTAAACTGCATTTTCTTGTAATATATCAATGTAATCTAGTAGGGGGTTGGATTGTGCAGGCTGATGATGAATGGATGTGTTCAATGTTGCTAATAGCTTAGCCACCTCCAGCTCACGGCTGCCGGCACGGCTAATTAAATTCCAGGTTTATGCTCATGTTGACAATCGAGCTTGTGTGCGTGTACATGTGTCAAAAGCTTGCATGTGTTTGTGCTCATCGGGCAGGAAGGACTGAAAACAGAAAGGCAAAAGGAGCAAGAGGAGGAGGAGGACTCAAATTCTTAGTAGATTTTCTGACTTTTGCAAATATGTGACTACAGTTTAATATGTGGGTACACTCCCTCTAAGGACATGTTGATGAAAGCTTATTAAGTTCAGAGTCTGTGGACTGTAAAATAAAGAGGTTCCTTCTCCACCTATTTTATATTCCAAGTACACCACAGCTTCCACTAATTTCCACACTGTTGGTTTCTGAATGCCATATAGAATTCGCATTTTTTTTATGTTTTACAGCAGCTTCAGTTAATACGCTGGCGTGACTGCGGACTGGTGCCAAATATCATTTCATAGTACAAGGTCCAGTCAAAGGTTCAGACCTTCTGGGAAATGCAAACACTCACAACAACATGGTGGAAGACACAGAGAAGTGCTGTGGGCCTGCTAGGTGTATTATACCCTTTAAATCATTCAAACCTCAATTCCAGGGTATCTTTGCCTTGATGGACGCTGGAAAATAATGCTCAACTATGTTTCCCGTCATAACCTATCTTTGTCAGAGTCCTGTTGGTTTTGTAGAGATAATTTTAACACTGATGGCTCAGGTTTTTTGGGTGCTTTTTTTTTAGTTTTGTGAGTTGTTTCTGCAAATCTGGCTGGAGAGCTGAAGCTTATTCCTCAAGCTAAACCAGTTTTTACAAGTAAAGGACACAAAACTCAGCATGCCACAAAACAAAACCTGAATCGAGGTCACGTTAATAAAAGGAAGCTCTTCTTTTAGGACAACGAAGCATCCAGTCCAAGTGTTTTGCCTAAAAGACGGGAGATGATGCTTTCTTGGTGGGAGGTATAAAATAGTCCTCTGTAAATTATTCAGAGGGCCCATCTGCTTTTACTTATGAGTATTTTAAGAGTACGAACACTCACGCTGCAGTAGAAGTCTCCTAAAGAGTGTTGTGGTTTCCAAACTCAGAAATGCAAACTGACATCACATCCACCTTTTCCTGTAAGGATCCTCTGAACAGCATGAGTCAGATTTTACAGGATACAAACAGAGATAAGGGAGTTTACGTAAAATAACTGCCACTGTTCCTTTTAGGAAACATGATCTAAGACTCTGGAAAGCTGATGTGCTATTTGAAGGAAAAATACAACAACAAAACAAGTAGAAAACCAAACTACAGAGAAGATTGTAGCTACTATTGAGGACAACAGAGGTCATGTCCTTGATATTTTTATAGAAGTTTGGTTGTTTCAGCAGCTTGAGGAGGAATTTAGACTCTTCAAATACATATAAATTACACCAACGATAGGTTGTTTAATTTCATTTTTATCAGGTTTGCTTATAAGCGTGACCATTTCTCCACAAATTAGATGCACACAGCTTTAAAAAAGTATTTTCTGGTTTTCTGGTATAGGTGTGAATGTGAGTGTGCTTGGTTGTCTGTCTCTAAGTGTAGCCCTGTGATAGACTGGCAACCTGCCTTCACCCTAAGTCACCTGGGATAGGCTCCAGCCGCCCCGCAACCCTAGTGAGGATTAAGCGGTGTATAGATAATGGATGGATGGATGGATGGATGGTATATGAAGAAGAGTTCTATTCTAACCAGCATTGAAGGAAGGGAATAGTTGAATAAATAATTAAAAAAAGAGGGAAAATAGAAGAAAACACAACAACTCCACTGTTTTGGTGACCAAACTATTCCTTGTTTCCCTGTATTAGCGTCAAGACTTTAGCAATGTAAAAGTTCACACCAAAGCCCTAATTTATTTGATCTAAATCGATATAAAGTTACCACGAGTTTAGTTCTTCACAGTTTTGCTATACTTGGTCAAAACATTCTTTTCTGTATCCCTCTGAACATTAAACAACACAGATAAATATTAACAAGCACCAAAAATGTTACTTGCTTAGTATAAGTAAGCAAAATCTACAGTAGCATCTGATGTTATAATGATTACATGGTGCCAAAAAAAATATCACTTTTTCTTTTATTTCTTTTTTTCTGCCTGAAGATTTCTTCCAATGAAATTTAATTAACTCCTGGAAGCAAAGCAGCATCTGGAACAGCCTGTAGCTCAGCCTTTAGTTCATTTTGGATTTTGCCTCCATTGATGTTAGCAAGTTACAGTGCATAGTTCAGAGAGATCAAATCAAATCAGCCTCCTCTTGCATACTGATAACTACTGGAGGTGTGTGTGTGTGTGTGTGTGTGTGTGTGTGTGTGTGTGTGTGTGAGAGAGAGAGAGAGAGAGAGAGAGAGAGAGAGAGAGAGAGAGAGAATTTCCAAGAGGTTTTTGCGTCATGGTAAAAGTGTGCGTATGGCAGCACCATGGACAGCGTCTGTTGTGTTATAATAAGCTGCATCTTCAAATGAATTAAAAATGACGTTGTTGTGCATCCTATGCTGCATCTCCTTCATACACATTCGCAGTTTGGTACACTCAAAGAACATAAACCCACTCACTTGTGAGAGAGAGAATGAAGAACATGAGAACAGTGTTGGTAGTCATCTCCTTTCTGCTCCCCGCGCAAACTTGCTACTTTCTTATACTGTCCCCCAAAAAGGAAGAAAAGAAAGAAGAAGAAGAAGAAGAGGTGCCTTGAATGTGATAACTGGAAATATACAACATGTATATTGCAGTTTCTTTGTTGCCACATAAACAGGTCCGGTGTCTCTTCTGAAATTTTACGCAGCGTAAAAAGAAACTTTAGTGACTATAAAGATGTATAAAGAGGTTATCTGTAGAAAATGTTTATTTGCCAGCGACAACATTTTGCTCCGTTGTTTCACTGCGTCCTACAGGAGTTGTTCTGTCCATTTTGCGGCTCCGCCTCAGCAACAAACCAGACGCTGTTCCATTTAAACCGCTGTAGATCCAAAAAGATCCAAACGAGTGCCAGGTTGTTGCCGTCCAAAAGAAGAAGAAAAAATCCACGTTAAACTTATTTCTCTGTGAAATTGAATCACCAGCGTTCACCGCAAGTTTGCTCTCCTCCTCTGACGAAGCGCAAAGAACTTACGAAATTGGCGCAGCTGCTAAAACCAGCGCGCACAGCCTGCACGCTTGTTTTTTTTTTTTCCCGCGAAGCTCCCGTGTTGCCCTGAGGAGAAGCCAGAAGGAGACGCAGGAGGTGGAGGAGGAGGAGGAGGAGGAGGTGGAGGTGGAGGCGGAGGTGGGATCGGAGAGGGGAGGTGTTAGTAATGCTCTCCTTGAGCTTCGGAGTGGAGAAGATTCACGTCACGGCACGCACGGATGTACAGCTGTCAGTCTGCTCTAGTTGGCCTCTATCTGCCAGTGGTGCTTGGATAGCCTACTTTTCCTGCCACTATATGAACCCAAACAAACAATACATGAGGGAAATAACACATAGCATATGGCTGCAGCCAGAAATAGGGACTTCTACACCTATGTAACGGAATCTGATACAAATTTAAATTAGTGGCATTTACTGTCTAAAAAAGAAAGCATCATATGTTTTACAAAGATTGCTTGGATTGCTTAAAGTGAGGTGAGCTGTAGGTCAGTTTTTTGAACCAGCAGGGACATAATTCTGCAAACACTTAAGCAATAAGGATTTTTTTTAAAAACCACACACACACACCAAGTTGCACTTTCTTTTTTAGTTATTCCAGGGTGCATAGTAGTGATGTGAACTTTCTTTAGCCTTGGATCTGGAGACCTATGCAACCTCAGCAACCACACAATATTCATATCACATTCAATATATGATGGGAAGTATTAGTAGCTAAATTTGATTCTGCGCTGAACTGACATGTTTTCGAAGTCTGCAACACAAACTGGCACATTAGTTGTGTTTGAGGGAGGATTGTGGTTCAGTACAATCAGATTCCAAATCCATGGTCAGTGTCTGGTGGGAAACATTCCTAAATCCAAGATATGCATCCTTCTATTGCTGTTATTGAGGTTTTAAAATTGTTTGTTCTGGAGTTTCACCGTTCAGAGCTACTCGTATAAACATGAAACAGTTGAATCATTTCTAGGACAATTTATTATATAGTCCTTTGTCTGTAAAGAATATATAGCAGGTGACAAATCAGAGGAAAAACCTTTGACCCTTTAACCTAGGGGTGGGCAATCCAGGTCCTCGAGGGCCACAATCCTGCATGTTTTAGATGTTTCCCTCTTCCAAACACACCTGATTCAAATGATCAGCTCATCATCAAGCTCTGCAGAAGCCTGATAACGATCCTGATCATTTGAATCAGATGTGTTGGAAGAGGGAAACATCTAAAACATGCAGGATTGTGGCCCTCGAGGACCAGGATTGCCCACCCCTGCTTTAACCCCTACAGTGAGGGGGTCTGGCACCGCTGCTGTGCTGCAGAGGGCATCTTCCTGGTTTGGTTTGAGCCCACTGGTCCCCTCAGAGAAAGACTGACCGCAAATCAATACAAGGTTGTTCTGTATCCTATCATGAAAGATTTATATCTTAATGGGAGTGGCCTCTTCACATCCTTAAGAAGAAAATTATGTGAATCATATGCAATGACCTTCACAGACACCAGATCTCCATCCAGTTGAACACTTATGAGAGATTTTGGACCAACGTTTCAGACAACGCTCTGCACCAACATCATCAACTCAATCATCATCATCATCACCTATTGAGGGAATATCTTTTGGTAGTGTGGTGTTGCATCAATCCAGCAGAGTTTAGGAAACTTGTAGAGTCAATGCGAATTCACATTGAAGCTGTTCTGGCACCATACATTTACACAACACAAGACACTTTATGTTGATTTTTCCTTTAATTTGTTACCTCTTTGTGGATTCGTGCATACATATTCCATAAAGAAGATCCATAAAGTTTGTTTTTTTTTAGTTAAGATTACCTAAATTATTTCTATTTGCTAAATGCCAAAATAATGAGAGAGAATTTTTTAGAGTTTTTTTTTTTTTATTACTTTCTTCAGTCAGAAGTTTACATATACTAAGATTACTATGCCTGCAAATGATTTGGGAAAGCCCAGATGATGATGCCATGGCTTTGGAAGCTTTTGATAGGTTAATTGACAACATTTGAGTTAATTGGAGGCCGGCCTGTGGATGTATTTTCAGGCACACCTCAAACACACTGCTTCCTCTTGTGACAGCATGGGGAAATCTAAAGACATCAGCCAAGATATCAGGAAGACATGTCCTGTGGTCTGACGAAACTAAAATTGAACTGTTTGGCCTTACAGACCATCGTTACATTTGGAGGAAAAAGGGTGAAACTTCCAAGCCTGAGAAAACCATCCCAACTGTAAAGTATGGGGGTGGCAGCATCATGTTGTGGGGGTGTTATTCTGCAGGAGGGACTGGTGCACTTCACAAAATAGATGGCATGATGAGGAAAGACATTATGTGGAAATATTGAGGCAACATCTCAAGACATCAGCCAGGAAGTTAAAGCTTAGGCACAAATGTGTCTTTCAATTTGCCAATGACCCTAAGCATGCCACCAAATTAGTTACAAAGTGGCTTCAGGACAACAAAGTCAGTGTTTTGGAGTGGCCATCTCAAAGCCCTGTTCTCAATCCTGTAGAAACTGTGTGAGCAGAGCTGAAAAGATGTGTGCAAGCAAGGCAGCCAACAAACCTGGCTCAGTTACATCAGTTCTGTCAGGAGGAATGGGCCAGAATTCATCAAATTATTGTGAGAAGTTTGTGGAAGGATATCCAAAACATTTGACCCAAGCATACAGTTTAAAGGCAATGCTACCAAATACTAAGGAAATGTATGTAAACGTCTGACTTTGAGGAAAGTAATAAAAAAATAAATCTTTCTCCCGTTATTCTGGCATTTAGCAAATATAAATAATTTTGGTAATCCTAACTGACCTGAAACAGGAAAAGTTTAGTCACATTTAATGTCAGACAGTGAGGAAAAGAAATGCTATGTCTTTTTATACGGTGTATGTAAACTTCTGTTTTCAACTGTACGTGTCAACTTTTTTTAATATATATATATATTTAAAGGAATGCTATTGACTGATTTAGATTTTTTATATTATTATTTGTCACTGTTGCCAGAAGGACCGTAAACAGAGAAATTAAAGCCGATGTCAACAAATAAACGTGGAATTTTAGCAGCATGTCCTGCCAAATGGTCACTGAGCCAAACGGTGAAATCAGTCGGCTCTACAGGCACTGGTCATGCGCAAAAGAAGGAATCTTAAATATCAACATCCCAAAAAGAATTTGATCCACTGATTTATGTGTTTATTCATTATCAGACATGGTAACAGTGCTTTTAGCTTCTGTGCTGCTCAAATATGGAGCAAATTGCCAGGAGAGCAAAGACAGTTTATCGTTGCTTTTCATTCATTTTATTTGTTTTATTTTATGTGTTTTTACTTGATTGTTTTTACGTTTTCTGAGTTTTTGCCTCTGTATTCTATAAACCACTTTGGTATGAAAAGTGCCATAAATTTGGCCTGTTTCGATGTATCAGCAGGCCCTGTATATCTCTTTTGTCTGAACAATTCGTGTTCATTTTCTATTTTCCTTCAGCAAACACATTGTTATTCCTTTTGACTTTCAAACTGAATGTGCAGGTTTTGTTTTTTAACACATGCTTCTATAGAGTAGCCAATGTCTGTGGTTCATCTTGTTTTCTTATGCACCATCTGCCTCAGATCCCCTATACATAATACTCAGTTCTGGGGCATATATGTGTGGGCTTGCTTTTATATTTGTGTGCATGATGTGAGTTTGGCTCACACAAGAGTATTTTTAACCATTGGACTGGGTGCATGTGGCTATCGCAGTAAGAGGAGAGTCATGTTGCGGACCACTCTCCTGCAGAAGTCACAGTGAAGAGACAGAAAGGCTTGGGTGTGAAAGCAATAATGCGGAGAAGACATGAACATACTGCACTTCTTTTTAGACGTTTCTGCTTGTGGCCCATGAATAAACCATTGCAGATTCAGTGGATAGCAATCACAAGCATGGATATGTCTTGGCCAGGCAGGTAGAGAGGTTTAGTTTTTTTGCTCTTTTCTTTTGTATTTTTCTTTTAAGTTACTTTTAATGCAAAAGAATGTAGATTCATGCATTCACGTCCCTCTACAGACAAGATCATCTCCGAAAACAGAAATGCTTGTGTCAAAACGTAACAAAAACTGACGGGATATTTACCACGCTGCCATTATTGATGTGGTTAGCATGTGCGTGAATCCATCACAGTCCAGGCCATATAACACATTACTCCCTTACACGGCCCAGTGGAGATTTCAATCTGCCGTAATGGAAGAGAGTGTCTGCTTCAGTCAAGTTAACTGGCACATGGGTGCCACATTTTACAGCGATTCACAACAGCCTCCCTCACTAACTCCCCTGCTCCATCACTGCCTCTGTCCCAAACCGCCGGGTTGCAGGCTGATAAATAAAAAAGTGCCAAGATCATACCTGCCATATTTATGTATTTATAGCTGGGACACAATATGTACTGTGCCATCCATAAATCAACATGTTACACAGGGGAGGAGTTTCACTGTTAGAGCT